TAGCCGCGACGCGAAGCGCCCCGCTCTGGAGTCCCGACTCCAGGCCTCGCGAGACCGGAACCGCGCCAGCAGCGCGGTACTGATTTGCGTCTCCTCACTTCCTCAGTGCGACCGCCGCCATGGCCCCCCTGTCTGCGCCAGGCCGCCACCGCACTTTCACGTCTCACCATGCTGTACTACCTGAACTGCCTGGCCATGTTACTGTACATAGGCACCAGGACCTTGTCTTCCGCGTGCCCGTCCTGCACGGGCGCGACCTCCCAGTACCACCTGGACACGCCCCACACGTGCCGCGTGCGGATCTTCACGAAGATCTACGTATACTCGGGCACGACGTGTTCCACCTGCGCGCCGAGCTGCGCGCCTACCGAGCCGACCTCCGCGCTCACCTACCAGGCACCGACGCCAACACAGACGACTCCGTCCAGCACCTGCTCACCTCGGTACGGCCAGGTATCCGGGGGGGGGTCGGGCTCCCGACTGCTGAGGGTGACGGTGCTGAGTGCGGTCGGGCTGTTCCCACGCCTGCCGTCGTCGCGCCGTGCGTGACAAGCAGTCGGCCCCCAACCTCCCCCCGAGAGCGCTCCCGCGGCACCGCAGGCACCGCTCTCAACTTCATCGGCATTATCTTGCTGAACTTCGGGTACGGCCTCGGCTCCACCTTCGGCATCGCTCTCGGCACCGTCGGTACGGTCTTGCGTACCATCGGCAAGGGCACCAGGAGCGTCGTCAAGCACATCGTCGACTCCGCCGGCACGGCGGGCCCAGCCCGCCCCACAGGGGCCGTCAAGGTCAGCTACGCGTTCTTCGGCGTCCTCGGCTCCGCCTGCGGCTTCAAGGGCACGGCGGGCCTGGCCCGCCCCAAACGGGCCACCATCTCGGCCGTCGTCATGCTCGTCCTTGCATCGACCTCAGCATCGCCACCAGCACTGCCGACCGCATCGACGCCAGCCTCGACGGGCCTTTCAACATCCTCTGTCCTGACGCCTCGCCCAGGGCCGTTGGCGAGGGTGCTGCCTTCAGGTGCACCTGACGCTAGAGGGGCCGTCCTGTCATGCCATGACCCGTCCGCCTTGCCGACACCAGCGTCTGTGCCTATGACCCCATCGACGTCAACATCGACGTCAGCATCGTCCTCGGCAGCCTTCCACGCCCACGTCCACGACGGACCAAACCCCAGCTCCGCAGACAGCATCGACGCCAGCTCTGACGACGGCACTGCAGTCAGCCTCGACGCCAGCGAGGGGTACGGATTCGGCACCATCCTCGCCCCCTCCCTCACCCCGCCCCGCAGGAGGAGGAGGAGACGACGACGACCACGACGACCTTGACGACGCAGTACCGGCGCCGGCGCCGAGGTCAGCATCGACGCTCCCACCGACGGCAGAAACGACCACAGTTTCGCCGACCCCGACGGTAGCATCGACGGCGGCGAGGACGGCTCCGACGGCAGCACCGCCAGCATCGCTAGCATCGTCAGCTACGATGGCAGCATCGTTAGCACCGCCGGCTCCGACGTCAGTATCGTTAGCATCGTCGGCTCCGACGGCCGCGTCGACGGCAGCGACGACGGCGTGGCGCGAGCACGCGGGCCTGCTCCACCAGCATGTGAAGCCCGACAGGCCGATCGTCAACGAGTTGGTGGTGGAAGGGCCAGGGCGCGTGGAGCTACTCTCGCAGCCGAGCCAGATCATGGACAAGAGGGCCGAGAAGTGGGGCGCCCTCTGGCAGGACACCTGCAGCTTCACGGGGCGCACCGACACCGGCAGGGAAGTCCAGGAATTTTCCGGAAAATCCTGGACTTGCCGGGGGGTAGATGAGAATCTCAGGCTCCAGCTGATCAGGACACTGGAGGTGGCCAGGGAGGAGGACTACCCGCCCGCAGTTTCACAGACTCCGACGGCGGCATCGATAGCATCGCCGGCTCCGACGGTAGCATCGACGGCAGCGACGCCACCACTGCCAGCGGCGGCTCCGACGTCAGCATCGACGGCAGCGACGCCAGTACTGCCAGCGGCAGCTCCGACGGCCGCGAGAGACGTCAGCACCACAATCAGCCACTCCTGCGCTCCCTGTATGGCCACTCGCTCGGCGGCGCCTTCACGCCCGCCGAAGCCTGGTGACCTACAGACCTCTCCTCGGCATCATCGTCTCTCAGAGTTGCAGCCAGCTTCGACGCCAGCTCCGACGTCCGTATCGAGGCCAGCACCGATGCCAGCCCCTACGACAGCACCGCCCACGCCTACGCGGGCACCAACGTTGACACCAGCACCAACGCCGGCACCGAGCGCAGCCGAGACGTCATCGCCGACGACAGCTCTCACGACAACCCTGCCAGTTTCAGCGCGCCCTGAGTCGTCCGCGGCGGCACCAAAGGTGGCACCCACGTCGGCCTACACGGCAGCGAACGTGGAGCGTGTGTGGTTGGAGGTCATCGAGTGGTACAACGTGGTGTCACCGTCCACGTGGGCCACCCTGTGCGCCACGTACGTCATGTACTACTTCTTCATCGGCTTCCGCGACGAGTGGCGGCGACGGAGCGCAGCTACAGCGCGGCGGCGACGCCGACAGCGCGGCGGCGACGTCGACCGCAGACGCCCTCTAGGCCACCAGACGGCCGCCCAGGGCCGCCCTGGCATCAGCCCCCACACTGCCTCGAGCCTCGAGCCGACCTACCTGCCGAAACCTGGTAGCACGCCAGCGAGGGCGGCTTCAGCCCCCCCGCATGGCACCACGCCTGCCATTCCTGTCATCGGCCCCCACACTGCCTCAAGCCTCGAGTCGACCTCCCCGCCAAAACCTGGTAGCACGCCAGCGGGGGCGGCTTCAGCCCCCCCGCATGGCACCACGCCTGCCATTCCTGTCATCGGTCCCCACGCTGCCTCGAGCCCTGGGGTGACCTCCCCGCCACAACCTGGTAGCACGGCAGCGGGGCCAGCCTCGGCCGTCTCGCGTGCTCACACGCCTGCCCTGGGTCCTGGCTCCCTCGCAACCTCGCGTGTTAGCGCCAGCACTGCCAGCACTAGCACTGCGACTGTACGGGAGCACTTCGAGCGCTTCCTCGGACCGCAACCAGCCACCATCGGTCACCTCCGAGCCGTAAACTGCCGTTTGGCCGCTTGGATCCCACCACGGCTCCACGCGGGCACAGCGGTCATCGTCCAGGGTCAAGTCCACAACCCCATCAACGGCCTCCGAGGTATCGTACGGGGGCAGTCCAGCGAGCACCCCGGCCACTGGACCGTCACGCTGTCGTCTGGGGACACCGCCCACCTGAGCTGCTCCAGTCTGACCGTCCCTGCACCTGCGCTCCGCGCCGAGATGCCGTCCCCCAGTACGGGCGCACAGACCAAGGCCCAAACTCAGGGACCCCAGCCCGGCCCAGCAGTGGACCCACGCCACCGTACCTCAGCAGCACAGCGCCCTGACGTCACGGCAGCAGTACCCTGCAGGCCACCTGCGCTGACCGTCCCACCAGGCAGCCGCGCCCAGACTGAACGCACAGCTGACTGTGAAGTCGGACTCCGAGACTCACGCGACGACGGCGCCGACGACCACTACCTCCACCACGACCTCGGGGTGCAGGCGCCCGTGGGCTTCTGGGGCCCGATCGGGTGCACAGCCGACGGCCCCAGCTACGGCCCCCCTACGGCCGGCCCCTCTGCGGCGAAGCCCGTGAGCAGCAGCGTCGCCGCTGGGATGCAGGACGCCGATCCTAGCGGCCGCAATTTCCAGGGTGCGGACACGCTGCGAGAGGTCGCGAAGATGCTGTCGCACCTGAAGGAGCAGGACCTGCTCCAACGACTGGAGGCTGAGGAGCGCTCCGGCAGGAGGAGGCTGAGGAGGCTGAGGGCCAAACGCAAGGCCGCAGCAGCCGCCGAGGGGGGCGGCGGGGACGCCGCGCAGGCCCAGGAGGAGCCACCCTACCAGGATGCTCCGGCTCCTGCGCTCCGCCGGGCCAAGCAGATCCTCTTGTCATGGGTGTTGGCCGCGTATCTGCCGCCTCTTGTGGCGGTCCCCGACCGCCGCCCCGCTAGACACACCCACTGGTTCCGCGAAGCTGGACCACAGTACGACGGACCGAGAAAGGCCGACGCGCAGCCGACTGCCCACCGATGCATCGAGCTCCGCCTATGGAGTCTGAGAGCTCCTGGCCCCCGCCCGACTCTGGCCCGCAGTTCGGACATGCTCCTAACCTGCGTGGACGCGGCCCTCGGCCTCCCGCACGGCCGCACAGCAGGCCTCATCCACCGCGCCACTCTCAAGCGTCTGCGCACTGATACTGATTTCCTTCTTCAATTTCCTACGTGGTCCGACGCTTTTGAAGAACGCGGGGGCTTCTCATTCACTTTGCCCTCATCCTGACCAGCGTGGTACGGCCTCGCCCTCGCCGCAAGTGCGCGTCCTGCCTTGCTCACCCGGGCGCTGTTCCCTGGTGTGCCGTGCCTGCTGGCGGGGGTGGCGGCTTCAGCCCCGCCCCACGCACCCGTGCCATCGCGCCGTGTCTTGTCCGCCATGTCGTAGCGGGTGCATCCGCTGTGAGGGCCTCCTCTGCACCCTTGCACTGTCTCTGCCTGTGCGCATGCTGGGCCATTCGGCTCCCAGCATGTGCACCTTTTCCTCTGCGCGTCTGGCGCCCTCTGCCGTCCGCCGCCTGGCCGCGGACTCTGTCACTTTCGAGGTCCGCCAATGGGGGCTAAAGGTTAGCTGGCAGCGGCTGGTGCCGCTGTGCTGTCGGCTAGCTTTTGCCGCTCCTGTTGGGGTTCTCGGCCTGTGCGCACTGTGCTGGGCCATACGGCTCCCAGCCGCGACACGGACGGGCGACCGCGGGCGACCGGAGGCTAATCGAGCGATTAGGCGTCGACTCGTCCAGGCACGCATGGATCGAGAAAGCGACGGTTGAGACGCGCCGGCGCGGCCGCCCGCGCCAGGGGGTTAAAAAATCGGCGGGCGACTGCCGCGGTGGGCCCGTCGGCCGGGCGTCGTCGCTGAGCACGGGCCGGGCGCTTCAGCGGGCGGCCTCCGCTGGAGGCAGACGGGCGCTTGCGCGTCGTGGCGCCCTCAACGGACGTCGCGGCCGGGGTGCTCGAGGTGGGCCCTGGCGGAGGCGCCGCCGACAGGCCGGAGCTGGGCTTGCAAGAGACCAAGGTGACGACCGAGGGGCATTGACTATGGATCTTGGCGAAGGCCTTCTGCGCCGCCGGAGGGGCGTTCGTGGCCACGCGCGCGTTGAAGTTGATCAGCTCCTGGATCGTGCACGCGTCGCCCGTGTTCTTGCGGCCCTCCCTGGTCAAGAGACAGACGCGTGGACAGCAGCTGCGCCCGCGCAGACCACCCAGCGCGGTCGTCCTGTTCGGGGGCGTCGAAGTTCGCGTTGAAGAAGGCCTGGTCGAAGAGCGCGTCAGCAACCGCAGTCGCGCGGGCGATGGCCGCCTTGGCGGCGCGACCGGCGCTCCCGACCGCCGCCGCCACGAAAGCCCAGGACTTCCCATTCGTGGGGTTACTCTGGGCGAGCGGCAGGCGCATCTGGAACTCCCCGCGCTCGACGCCCGCGGGCACGCGGGGGAGCTTCAAACTGGCCGCCGTCCGGCTGGTCAAAGTGGACGGCCCATGGCGGACGGCGGGCGCGCCATCTTTTAAAAAATTGCTATCGTAGAACGTCACCTGGAGGCCTGCGTCTTCGATGGTGCTCGTGTCGAAGAGCTCGACGTGGGCCTGCACGGTGTACAGGCTCGCGCTCTGCCCGCCCGGGCGGCCAACTGCCGCTGCGCCGGCCTTGGGGGCAGGCGGGGCCTGCTCGTGCATGCGGTTCTTCTGGGCCGGCATCTGTTCTCTGGCACCTATTGAGACGGGCGCGCTGGCTTGGGCGGCGGCAGCTGACTGAGCGGGCCAATTCCTGCGGTGGTCGCGCATGCGTATTACCGTGCGTGCACAGAAGGCGATTGCACTGGAAGGGAATGGAACTGTGTTGTGTGTGCGTGCATCGCGCGCGGGGCAGCCCTTGGGAGTCCGCGGCCGAAAGTACACCGAGCAGGTCCCGGGCGGTTCCCTGGCAACTTCCCATCGTGGGCGGTTGTGTTCCTGGGCGCCGCCCGCAGGGCCTCCCAAGAATTCCAGACAGGGCCCGCAGGCCCCCACGAGGCCCTTTAGATTCTAGATTGTCCTCGAGAACTCCAGGGCACGACAAAATTGACCCGGGACGCCCGAGATGGCCCCCAGACGGCCTAAGAGGCGTCCAGGAACACCCCAAAGGGAGGGCCCCAAAAGGCAACATGAATCGATGCCCCGGAGGTGTTTGATGCATTTGGGGTGCTTGCTTTTCCGGCTTCCCGACGCTCCCAAATAACCCAAAGAGGCCTCCCGAGACGACGCAACAAACCCACAAGGGCGCCCCATAACGGCCCAAGAAAATTCCAAAACGGTCCATAACGCCTCCTAGACGAGACGGCCCAAGAGAGCCCCAGGATGGCCCCAACAACAGACCCACAGGGGAAACCTTAACAGAAATGCCGGTCCCTTGGCCCCAAGAGGCGCCCAGGAGGCCCCAAGAAACGCCCCAGAGAGCCCAGGTCCCCCCAGGGCTGCACAAGGCCCAAAAAGAAGCCCCAAGAGGCCCCCAAACGGACCCCAAAAAGCCCCTCACCATCGTCACCGGCATCGCTACTGTCATCTTCGTGTCTACCGATGTCGACGTCGCCATGAAACCGCGCCCGCCCACGTCGCCGACTCGCACTGAATTGCCCGCTGGGAAATACCCAGCGGTCAGCGACACCGCGGCCGCGCCAGTCGCGCCAAATTAGTTGGTCGCTGCGCGCGCGAGCATGCGTTGGCTAGCGCGGCCGCGGGACCGCACCAGCCAACACCAAACACCCATCGCAACCGCCGCTGCATGGTTTAGCCAACAAAATTGCGGGTGGGTGGGTGGGGCGATTGACCGAGCACTGGAGTTGATAGCTTCAAATTCGACGACGTGACGCAGACTGGCTGAATTACGTAGATTATCTCTCCGCAAAAAAATAAGCTCTACCCCCCTCCGGGATTATCGGCCCCCTATTCGTATTGCAATATACATATGACTCTGCCGCTTCGCCCATCCTACTCATGAGTTCGCACCATCCCAACCAGGCCGGTATCCGCTCCCTCCCCTACCCCACCATCCTTGGAAACAGATGCTATATGCGCGCGCGTCCGCCGATCACCAAATATCAGTTTCCACGAATCCCTTCCAAAAAAAAAGACGGCTTGCTCACGCGCGCGTCGTCGCGCGCGCATGCCGGCATCATTAAAAAACCTTCGGTTTCGTAGAGATTTCAATTCCGAGTGTCCGAAAAGAAAATTGCGCTACCGAGGAACCCCACATACTTATACCATGGCTGGAGCGATGATGGCTGATGTGAAGCATGCGAGAATAATGTTGGTGGCCGTTGCCCCGCCGATACCGTTGGTGACGCCACTCAAGAGGAGAGGTGGAAGAGGAGAAGCACCGCGCCAGCCACACTTTGCGATGCCGAAACAGAGAGCGACCGCACCCCCTTGTAGGCCACGCCTGCTAGGCCCTGCGACATTGGCGAATATAGAGAGACCCCCCCCTGCGCACCCCCGGTGGTGCCGAGAAAGTGTCACTCCTGCTAGGCCCTGCGACATGGGCGCGTATAGAAAGCTCCCCCCTCGCGCACCCCCTCTGGTGTCGAGAAAGTGCCACGCCTGAGAGGCCCTGCGACGTGGGCGCGTGTAGAGAGACCACCCCGTGCACAACCCCATCTGGTGTCGAAAAAGTGCCACACCTGCTAGGCCTTGCGACATTGGCGCGTATAGAAAGACCCCCCCCTGCGCCATGGCCCGCATAGACGCCGCGCTCGGAGACCACCCCCTCCGCACCCCGTACGAGGTCGAGAAAGTGCCACACCTGCCACGCCCTGCGCCATGGCCCGCCTAGACGCCGCGCTCGGAGCCCCCCCCCTGCGCACCTCCTACGGGGTGAGGAAAGTGCCACACACCTGCCACGCCCTGCGCCATGGCCCGCATACGCGCCGCGCTCGGGGACCACCCCCAGCGCACCCCCTACGAGGTCGAGGAAATGCCACACATGCCACGCCCTGCACCATGGCCCGCATAGACGCCGCGCTCGGATACCACCCCCAGCGCACCCTCTACGAGGTCGAGAAAATGCCACACTTGCCACGCCCTGCGCCATGGCCCGCAAAAGCGCCGCGTTCGGAAACCACCCCCTGCGCACCCCCTCTACGAGGTCGAGAAAATGCCACACCTGCCACGCCCTGCGCCATGGCCCGCATAGACGCCGCGCTCGGAGACCACCCCCTGCGCACCCCCTACGAGGTCGAGAAAGTGCCACACCTGCCACGCCCTGCGCCATGGCCCGCATAGACGCCGCGCTCGGAGACCACCCCCTGCGCACCCCCTACGGGGTGAGGAAAGTGCCACACCTGCCACGCCCTGCGCCATGGCCCGCATAGACGCCGCGCTCGGAGACCACCCCCAGCGCACCCCCTACGAGGTCGAGAAAGTGCCACACCTGCCACGCCCTGCGCCATGGCCCGCATAGACGCCGCGCTCGGAGACCACCCCCTGCGCACCCCCTACGAGGTCGAAAAAGTGCCACACCTGCCACGCCCTGCGCCATGGCCCGCATAGACGCCGCGCTCGGAAACCACCCCCTGCGCACCCCCTACGAGGTCGAGAAAGTGCCACACCTGCCACGCCCTGCGCCATGGTCCGCATAGACGCCGCGCTGGAGACCACCCCCAGCGCACCCCCTACGCGTTCGAGAAAGTGCCACATCTGCACCCCTTGCGCCATGGCCCGCAGAGACCCGCGCTCGGAGACCCCCCCCCTAAACCCCTACGGGGTGAAGAACGTGCCACACCTGCCACGCCCTGCGCCATGGCCCGCATAGACGCCGCGCCCGGGGACCACCCCCAGCGCACCCCCCTACGAGGTCGAGAACGTGCCACACCCCTGCGCCACGGCCCGCATACGCGCCGCGCTCGGAGACCCCCCCCCCTGCGCACCCCCTCTACGAGGCCGAGAAAATGCCACACCTGCCACGCCCTGCGCCATAGCCCGCGTAGACGCCGCGCTCGGAGGCCACCCCCTGCGCACCCCCTACGAGGTCGAGAAAACGCTCCACGTGCCACGCCCTGCGCCATGGCCCGCATAGAATAGACGGCACGTTCGGAGACCACCCCCTGCGCACCCCCTACGGAGTGAGGGAGGAAGGAAGAGGAGGGGGAGGAGGTGAGACGCGGGTGCGGCGCGGGTTGGAAGAATACAAGAGCCCAGCGAAGAATGTTGGGAAAACCGTATAAAAACGCAGGGTGTCGCAACGCGGGTCTTCAAAAACAGCTGTCGCGAACGCTCTTGCGAACCCCTAAGGAACCAATCGGCTTTTCAACATTCTCAGGACATGCTATCGAAAGGGTTTCGCGCGCGCATGTCGACATCGTTCGAACGCCCTTGCTCGCATGCTGGGGTGGCGCGATCCGTGTCAAGTAATATCATGCGGACCCGTGTCGCGCGCCTGCCGCGCGCGCATTTCGAACTCCTTTCCAAACCTTTTTATAACGACGCGAAGACGCCGCCATTGTCGCCCGTGTGATCGGCATCGGCACCGTCACTGACTGCCCCGCCGTCGCTGTCGGCATCGTCGCCGCCATCGCTACGATCCTCCTCGTGTCTACCGTTGTCGCCGACGCGCACTGAAGTGCCCGCTGGGATGTGCCGAGCGGTCAGCGCCACCGCGTTCGCGTCGGTCGCGCCAAACTAGCTGCCCGCTGCGCGCGCGAGCATGCGCGGGCTAGTGCGGACTAGCGAGGCCGCAGAAATTCACCAGCCAACACGAAGCACTCATCGCAATCGCTTCCGCATGGGTTTGCCAAACCAACCTGCGGGTGGGTGGGTGGGTGGGGTGATTGCGCGGCCGGTGAAGGTGATTGCACCACACAGTTTTCACTTAGTAGTTCACACCAGTTTATGTCACCACACGTATATACATACATGTATACATGTGTTGACATCCATATGTTTGTATACATATATATATATATATATAGATATAGCTATAGATGACACCACAAAAAAAAACGCTTGCTCCTGCCTCATCGATTGCACCACTAACCGTGCACCCCATTGCCCACACTTGCACCACATAGCGTATACCACATGGCTTACACCACGAAGATCGCACCACGTAGCTTCCAGCACATAGCTTGCACCGCAGGGATTGCACCACATAGCCTGCATCACCTACTATGTTAGAACACACTGTTTAGGGCCCACGCTGATGGGGAATTTTGTTTGTTGGTTGTTCGGTCTGGGGCACGTACCGCTTTTCTGCGCAAGACGGGCCCCAAGGTGGGCTCCACCACAACGCTCCGCGCCCTAAAGGAGGTCCCCAGACAGACGCCATATGGCCTTCGAAGCTCAGAACTTACCTCCAAGAAAGACGGCCCAATGCGACACCTGTCTGGCCCACGTCCAGCACGATCCCTACACGCTCCCAAACGTCTATAGGACTTCCCGAGAGTGCTCAGATTCCCCCGGGCGGTACGCACGCAGGCAACTTGTTTGGTCGCAGCGGCGCGGGCCCACGCCGCGGTCGAACGCAGCCGAGGGGCACTACGCACCCGAGAGACACAAAATGACCCATACAGAGCCCCAAGAAGGCGCCAGAAAACGTCCACGAACATCAAGCACCTTCAAACACGGTCTCCTTGCAAGAAAACGCTTGGCATTGCAAGCCCATGCCCCATGCCATTTCTACATATATGTTCCTCCTCGTCCTCCCCCAACTCCGCATACTCATCCTT